AAAAAAAACAAATGCATAAGTTAGTGTTGAGGATTCTTCAAATATGTATCTGTACAACACACATAGACGTATTCTCTACGAACTACGTCATTTCACATATTGGTTTTTTTTCCTTTATATTTCCACATATACGCCATTGGATTTCTTCTTTCTCTTCTATATGTCACTCTAGATGTATATATGTGTAGACATATATATGTTCGTGTGTGTTCTCTTAATTCTCTTCTTTTTGATCTATCCTTCTCTACGTTTACGTGGATAGTGTTTTCCCAATAAAATCGAACTCACGTTCACCCAAACTTACAGTTAAAATCAGGCTTGCTAGATCTTCTGAAAAGCCAAGAAAATTTCTGAAATTTGAACATTTTCCTGATTTTTTTCTGATCTTTTGATTTTTCTGATTTGTTGTCAAATTCCAGACGTTTTTAGATGGCGGCTGTACTAGTGGAATTAATTACGAGTGTAACCCATTAATATTATAGATTCGTATTCCGCTACCTTCTTTCCTTTCTTAATCTCTTGTAGTTTCTGGGTTCTGTAGCCACTGCTAAGTGCTTTAATATATCAGTAAATTGTTGCGTTGCTGAACTGAATAGTGAATGCCAATTTTTTTTTTGAACGATTTTGTAAACATATTTTAGCTCAAAAACATTTATTGAGAGAATTTTGAACGAAGGAAAACTTGAAAAATAATATAGAAGTTATGTTCTATAACTTTGATTATTTTTCGTAAGATTTTTTGATCTGCATTGTTTATCTAGATGATTTTTTTGTGCATATTTTTCGTAAACAGAGTTTTGGTTTTTGTAAAAGAATCCGACACTAGGTGTCTTTTCCTGACTTTTTTTTTTGTATTAACTAACAACTGAAGACCATGCTGCAGCAAATTAAGGAGATTTATCATAGTCGCATCAAATGAATGCTTTCACATACGGAACAACTAGTTTAAAACATGAGCTGCCAATAGTGTACACAGACAGAATTGTTTAAATTTTAAAACATTTACAATGTGTCATGTATCCACAGTACGAAATTTCATCAACCTTTAGTTTTCTTTTTCCATCATGGTTGGATGGAACACGACTATTGACGTAGGAAGAAGCAATATTACTCACATTCAAAAGCAATTTGACAGCAATTAAAATTTTTTGTTTATTACCCTTATAATTAAAAAAAGAATTATCTTAGACTTTGTTGAATTTGCTTTTTGATATGCATGATATTGTTTTTTCTTATGTAAATGGTTGTGTCCCATCCAACCATGACGAAAAAAAAGAAAACTAAGCGTTGACGAAATTTAGTAGTGAGGGTATGTAACAAACTGGAAACTTCTTCTCAATGTGTGTACGCTACTGGCAGCGCATATTTTTAATTAGTTAGTTTGATAGTGAGAGTCTTCATTTGATTCAACTGTGATCAATCTCCTAAGCTTACAGTATATGATCTTTTACTCTAAGCTATATAATGGTTGTGTTGTTTTTCTTTACTATGAAATGCTTTTAAAAACAAAGTATGAGCCGATAAACAAAAAAAAACGTGAAGCCTTTTGTGCAAGTATGTCAACATGATAGTCCTTGGTTTGCAAAAAGTTACTCTTTATGATTAGTTTCCAATTTCAGAAAAAAATTCTAATTTTTTTCTGATTTTAAAAACAAGAATTTCTGATTTTTAAGTTTTTCATCTAGCAACTCTAGTGAAAATACCAGAAGCGAGTCTTTTCTTCATGCTTCACAGAAAGAACAAGCAAAAATGCATGTGTGATTCAGACGGAAGAAAAGAAAATGAGTTATTATCTAATTCAAAAATAAATAAACAATTCTGAAAAAGTGAAATTTCAATGGGCAAAAACTGACGCATAAAAATTACAATGGGCAAATCTCCAAATGAAATGGGCAATTGCCCATTTGCCCCTCCCTTGGCTACGCCACTGCCATAAATAATCCAAACACTTGCTTCAGATCGAACTAATTTTGCATCTAGAGCAAATTCCGTACCAACACCTAACGTACCAAATACACCTGGATCTAACCAAGTTAATAGTCCTCGCGAACGAAATATATAAGCAGCTGTAGCTACAAAGTCTCCATCATCACTAATTAAAATAGCATTATCTGGTAATTGGTTTTCTAATTCTTGTAAAACATGAACTGGATTTAAATGATCTACAGTTGATTCTAATCCTTTTTTTCTACAAAAAAAAAGATATTTATCATTACCGATTTGCTTCTTCTTTAATATTATCTTTACTTCTAAGTGATTCAATCCATAAATTAGGATATTTAATAATTTTTTTCTGATAAAATTTTATGTAATCGCACAATAAAATTATCTGGATTACCTTTGATAGCTAACGTTGACTTGCAAAAAACATTACTATTCTAAATAAAATAATAAATATTCAATTAAATCTATCGTTTTTTTTATTTGATATAAACTAAATGAATTTAGAATTAACAATAATAATTTTCGATTTTGTTAAAAGAACTTTCCCGTAACCAAGACGAAAATCACAAACAGTTCTTAAAAGAAAAACAAATATTCAAATAATGAAAAGAAAATTTTAATTTTTTAACCAATTAATAGAACAACATCAGCATCTTTTTATGCTTCTTTACGACAACGATGAAATTGTATTGGATTATTTCTACCAAGTAAACCTCTTGACATACTACCAAGAAAACGTGGAATACCCATTGACTATTAAATAAATATTCAACTAATCAAATCTATTCGACGAAAATTTATTTACTTCAAATACTTCAACAAGATCACTTGTCGATTTTTTGATGGTAGAATACTTTGATTACCTAATAAACAAACTGGGGTTTTTGCTGATCGAACAAGTTCTGCAGCTTTTTCAACTAAATTAAAATGAAAAAAAACTTTTGAATCTTTTGATAAAATGAATTTTACTAGAAAGATTTGATGCATAAGGTATTTCTGGCGCTATTGGTAAACATATTTGTTCATCAAAAACTTCAACAAATATTCCATGTATATAAGTTGATAAATATGTAAATAGAATAAATTATTTTTTATTTATTAAATATTTATTGACTAACAAATTTGCTATTTTATCAGCTAATGTGTTTGCATTTGGTTTCATACCAACTTCGCATTCAACCAAATGAAAGGGATATAAAACATCAATTGGGAATTCAACGAATACTGGTTCTAAAATAGATTCTTAATTTTTTAAAATTTTTATTATCAATTTTATTTACCTGGAGTTCTTGATTGAGCAATAAAAATTGCTTTTCGAAGTAAATATGAAAATTTGACGAACACGTTTAACGCTAACTGTATATTTACATATTGATTTAAATAATGACATATGATCAATATCTTGTAATGCACCACGTCCTTTGGATAAATTAGCAGCACAACCACCGAGTAATAATAATGGACTTTCAGCCATTTGAGTATTTTTTATTGTTGTTATGGTATTGATTAAACCTTGAAAAGACGTCTATGATTTTATTTTCTCCAATAGAAAAAAGTATGTTTACCAGGTCTAGTAGTAACAACACAAACACCAATTTTATCACTTAGGCGAGAAACAGCATCACCTTAAATCATAAACAAAAGCTGTTTTTTTTTCAATCTTATATAAAGAAAGTTTTTCCCGCAAATACAGCATTTCCTTTATGACGAGTATCAATTATACCTGTATTATGTTTATCACAAGCAACTAATAGTGCTGATATATGACCACCGAATAAATCGAATAGATAAGGAATTCTATGAGCCTTAATGAAAAAAAGAAATTTCTGGGTGAATCCATGGGAAGCCAGCCACTTTTTGGAAAAAGTTTTTTTTCTCCCAGTTAGATTTATCATCGATAGAAAATATGTTTGGTCGAAAAATATTCCTAAGTAGTACTTAATATTCAAAAGATCCAAACTGCTGTCTCGGTACAACTATGATGAGAGTAGATCACTTCGGTAACTCCAATGTTTTGAGCTCATATTTTGAGGGTAGGTAGATGAAGCCTAGACTAGAAAAACCTCCAAAAGATTTGTATTCTCAATGCATTAATACTGAACTACGCCATTCATAAGTAAAATGACTTTTACACAATCAGAATAAAAACACATTTTTCATAATACATGCATATTTTTCATTTTTCTTGAGAATGGCGTAGTTCAGTATTAATGCATTGCAAATACAAATCTTTTGGAGGTTTTTCTAGTCTAGGCTTCATCTACCTGCCCTCAAAATATGAGCTCAAAATATTGGAGTTACCGAAGTGATCTACTCTCATCATAGTTGTACCGAGACAGCAGCTTAGATCTTCTGGATATTAAGTACTACTGAGAAATATTTTTCGACCAAACCTATTTTCTATCGATGGCAAATCTAACTAGAAGAAAAAACTTGAGAAAAAAAACTTTTTCCAAAATAGTGGTTGGTTTCCCATGGATTCCTCATTTTATTATTACTACAAATAAATATCAATCACTTATCTATTTTAAGGACATCAACAACAAGTTCACCACCATATGCTGTTAATTGATCATTAACCTAATATAAATTAATTAATATAAACTCTAGTTCTTTTGAATGTAAAGTACAAACTGTATATATAAGTGTATATATCCATCGAGTTTTATAAGCAATATAGAAAAACAATATAAATAGAATGAGAATTACTAGGAAGATAATCGTTTCTTTTGTATAAAAATCTAAAATATGTGAAATTACGACACAAGAATTATAGGATGATAACATGAAGAAGTTTATTTTGAAAATAGTTCGAATTAGTAGGCTAATCTTCATGAATGGGTGAGTATGGCAGTGGGTGAGGGCGTGTGTGGATGTGGGGTGTGGATGGGTGTATATGAGTACATGTAGCGACAATACATACTCATACGCACACCCACAGCCACACTCTTCACTTTGTTTATAATTTAAGTCCATGAGAAGTATATCGAATACTTTACTCGATTAATTTCACTATTTTACTATTAATTTTTTTCAATTTGAGTTTTACCTATTGTTTAGCATCATTTCTCAATTATGTAACTCTTGAATATCATATAAATGAAGGATGTGAGTAGGTGGATGAAGTGTGGGTGTGGATGAATAGATAACCAACATGCACACCCATACTCTCATCGAATCCAACTGTCAAATCGGATCTTTACTATTCATTGTGAAAACAGTTCGATTCTGGCTCTACAAACAGACGGATAGTATCATGTGGCTGTTATAAATTATCAGAACCATACCAGACATTGCTTCCGGGCTCAATAATTGGAGGGTGTGGGTGTGTGGGTCTGGGTCTGGGTCTGGGTATGGTCTGCTCTTAGTCCCATCAACATTCACATCCACACCCTAACGAATGTAAATCAGACGAGAAAAAATACATCAGAAACCAAGACGATGTTTTTCTTCGACAATTAATATTTCATCAGGATTACGAAAGAGAAAATATTTATTTATGTAGACGATCGATCATAATATACATAAGTCTCACGTGCAATAGCGCATTTGCGATATGCATTCTTGATCTCTTGTCTCGATAAAGACAAGAAAGTTTCTGAAAGTAGCGATAGAAGATTGGTTGTTGTCATTGAATATTGACTTCTAATAACTTCTTTGAATCCATGCCAAATTATAAATATATGTGCTATATTCATCTAGTATAGATATAGACAAAGAGGCAGATAAAAAGAGAACACAAAAAAGGAATAAAAATAGCAAACGAATTTAATGTTGTTTTTGGACCGCGATCCTGAACATACGGAAATATATATCAACTCCATGCTGAAGTTTTTGAGATTTTCACTAATAAAGTGACGTCATTGTGTTATTTTAGTTAACTAGATGGATTTATGAAAGTAAAATTTTACGTATTCAAATAGTTATTGAACTTTATGCGATAAAGTGAAAAAAAACAACAGTAAGATAAAAATTAGATTTGCTCGTATTACAATTTGTCGAAAAAAAAACATAATCTTTTCTTCTGATGTATTTTTTTCTCGTCGGATTTGCATTCGTTACTTATGATCAATCGATCATATGATGCAGTGAAGACTGTACTTTCTCGCTGCATACGCATCACTTAAAAAAGAGCGAACTATAGTAGTTTAAAGTTAGAAATACATAGGAGGGAAATATCATTGAGGCGCACTGTACATTGATATGAAGTTGCAACAAGTTTTCAGTAAAATAATGTGAAAATTAATAATTTTCAACAGAGAATGTGTGTGAGTATTTCCATCATTCACACCCACACCCAAACTGAAACAGTTAGTGGTACATTCAAAACGGTAGAATAAAGATCCTTTATTTAATATAAACAAACATGAATGAACATGATATCATGAAAAGAAAGGAGTGTGAAGTGTTGGGATAATGAGTTGGATATAGGGATGAGAAATGTCTGCGACGATCGTGAACAAGTTCTGTGAGCCATCCTCAGCCACTATGAGATCCATAAGAATGTCCATAGCTGCAGTGGACGTTTCCTGGACCTTGTGACCAGAATTGTTCGCAGTCGCAGGATTGACATGGGCCATCTCCTTCCTGGACTTCATGGACCATCTT